CACCCTTGGTGTCGTTGGAGTCAACCAGAGGATCACAGCCGCTGAGATGAAGGCGTATGACGACCTCTTTGCAGCGCCCATGGCCCATCCCCCTGTCAGTCCTATCGGCCATCGCCGCATTGGTGGATCGCGAGCTCCCCGCTGATCCTGCCGTCGCGTCGATCACCACGGTGATCGCGGGCAGCCCGATCGAGGCCTAGCTGTGCCCCCGCGCCCTTCGTCGACCTCATCCCCATGGAGCACAACCCCAAGATCTTGATATGGAATGTGCGCCGCCTCAACGCGCGCGCACGTCTTACTGCTGTCAGGTCACTTGTTGTAACCGCGAACGCATCCCTTGTCTGTTTGCAAGAAACTAAGATGGCTTTGATCTGCTCGTCGACTATCCTCGAAGCCCTCAGCTCGGAATTCGATGACTACGTGTATCTGCCCGCACTAGGAACCAGTGGCGGCATTCTGCTAGCCTGGAAGAGTAGGGAGATAGTCATCACTGACCCCCTATTCACCGCCAACGCCTTGACTGCCCGTGTTTCCGCCCCCACTGGCGTTGGCACACCGTGGTGGATCACCGTGGTCTACAGACCCCAGCCGGATGAGGCCAAGATCGCCTTCCTGCAGGAGCTCCGCGACATACGTATGGATTGCACAGGGCCTTGGATGATTTGCGGGGATTTCAACCTCATATGTCGTGATGAAGACAAGAACAACGGGAACGTCAACCGACGCATGATGGGCCGCTTCCGGCGCACCCTCAACGACCTAGCGCTCAAGGAAGTTTACCTTAACGGTCGCCGCTACACGTGGTCAAACGAGCATTCGCCCCCGACACCGGTCCACCTCGACCGTGTCCTTTGCACCGCAGACTGGGAGGAGTTGCATGGCGAATGCCACCTCCGTTGCCTCCCCTCGGTCGTCTCCGACCAAAGTCCCTTGCTGCTCGATTGCTCGCCGGTGCGGCCGGCGCATCGCCGCTTCCGCTTCGAGGAATTTTAGACGCGCATGGACGGGTTTCATGACACCATGGAGGCTGCATGGCAATCCGTGAGCGACATCGACCCCTTCCGCCGCCTCATGCTACGCATGCAAGCGACCGCGCGCGGGCTCACAAGTTGGAGCGCCAAAACGGTGGGTAACGTGCACCTCAAACTTGCGATCTCCCGGGAGCTCCTCCTCAAGTTCGACACCGCGCAAGATCACAGAGCCTTGTCTCCTCATGAGTACTGGCTGCGCCGGCAAATCAAGGCCTCCTACCTCAGCCTCGCCTCGCTCGAGCGGACTATTGCCCGGCAGCGCTCCCGCCTCGCCTCCCTCAAGGACGGCGACGCCAACACGTCCTTCTTCCACCGACAGTGCACATATCAGCGGCAGAAGTACAGGATCCACAGCCTTGTGGTCGATGGGCAAGTGGTCACGAACCCCTACGACATGGCCGCTGCGGCGTATGCGCACTTTGATGGCCTCCTAGGCTTCGCGTCCCCCCGTGAGTGCGCTCTGGAGCTTGAGGCGCTGATCACGCCCGTCGACTTGGACGACCTCGAGGCCCCCTTCGACGCCAAGGAGATATGGAACGCTGTGAAGCGCCTACCCGCGCGCAAGGCCCCTAGACCCGACGGCTTCACCGCCGAGCTTCTTCGCGCATGCTGGCCCATTGTTCAGCAGGATTTCATTGCTGTCTTCCAGCAACTTTACGAGTTGAGAGGGTGCGGATTCAGCTCCTCAACCAGGCGCTCCTCACGCCGCTCCCGAAGCGCACGGATGCCAGAGGCCTCGACGACTACAGGCCCATAAGCCTCATCCACCTCGTCGCCAAGATCTTTGCCAAGGTCCTCTCGCTCCGCCTCGCGCCCAAGCTAAACGCCCTCGTTAGCACCAGCCAAAATGCGTTCATCCCGGGACGAAGCCTGCATGACAACTTCGTCCTCGTACGGCAGTCCGCGCGCCTGCTACATCAACTAGGTGTGCCGCGCGTTCTGCTGAAGCTGGACCTGACTCGCGCATTCGACTCGATCAGCTGGCCATTCCTCTTCGACGTCCTGCGCCAATATGGTTTTGGTGCCAGATTCCTGGGTTGGCTAGCGATCTTGCTCTCGTTGGCCAGCACCAAGGTGATCATGAACGGCGAACCAGGCCCGCCCATTTGGCACCGTCAAGGACTACGGCAAGGTGACCCCATGTCACCCCAGCTCTTCGTTCTCGCGGTGGACACGCTAGGCCGCCTGCACCGTCGCGCCACCGAGCTAGGCATCCTGCAGCAGCTGCACCCCCGGCGTTCGATCCCTTCCGTCTCGCTGTACGCGGACAATGTGGTCCTGTTCTACCACCCCACGTTGCGCGACACATCCGTTGTTAGGAGCGTCTTGAAGCTCTTTGGGCGCGCCTCTGGCCTTCACGACAACTTCTCGAAGAGCTCCGCCACCCTGATCTGAGGCGACACGTTGGGCGCCACGCCGCCCCTCAACCTGTTGGGTTGCCCCGTTGTAGAGATGCTGATCACCTACCTGGGCATCCCGCTCACGTTGCAGCGGCCCACCGCTGCCCAGCTTCAGCCCGTCATTGACAAGGCTGCCGGCATGCTACCTTGCTGGAAGGCGCACCTCATGAACAAGGTTGGCCACCTCGCGCTTGTCAAGGCGGTCCTGGCGGCAACCCTATCCATCAACTGCTCGTGCTTGCCCCCCCCCCCCAAAGAAGACCCTGAAGGCACTTGAGAAGATCCAGAGAGGCTTTCTTTGGGCTGGGCGCGCGGAGGCTAATGGCGGTAATTGCCACGTCAACTGGCGGCACGTCTCCAGGCCGATCTCTCTTGGCGGGCTTGGCCTTCGCGTTCTGGCGCGCACAGGCCTTGCGCTCCACACACGGTGGCTATGGTTCAGCCGCACGGATCAAGGCAGGGCCTGGGCCGGGGCCGGACTGGACCTACAGTTCAGCGACGAGGAGCGTGTGTTCTTCGCCTCTACCACCATGTCGGTTGGGAACGGCACGCAAGCCCTTTTCTGGGAGGATCGGTGGATTGATGGGTGCTCCGTCCGCGAGATCGCGCCATGCCTGTACGCGTGCATCCCCAAACGCCGCCGTAAGCTCCGAACCGTGGCGGACGGCATCCTCGCCAACCGGTGGGCGCAAGACATCCAGGGCGCCGTGGGAGTCCAGGAGATCGGGCAACCTGCAGCTATGGCACAAGATTGAGCACACTACTCTCTCTACTGAGCCGGACCGCCTAACCTGGAAGTGGAGCGCGAATGGCACCTACTCCGTTGGATCAGCCTACCTCGCCACATTCCATGGCTCCATCCCCTGTGACGCATGGAAGCTCACCTTGAAGTGTTGGGCGCCCCGCGTGTCAGGTTCTTCCACTGGCTAGCACACTTGGATCGCTGCTGGACAGCGGACCGCCTCGCCCGCCGCGGCTTGCCGCACCCCGTGTGCTGCCCACTTTGTGACCAGGCGCTCGAGACCATGAACCACCTCCTCCTCGCCTGCCCCTTCGCCCGACAGACCTGGCACGAGGTGTTCAGTTGGCTTAGGGTCCCATGCCCCCCGCCTGCTCACGAGCCATCACTCAATGATTGGTGGCAATCCACAAGGCAGCTCGCGCCCAAGCCCATGCGCAAAGGCCTCGCATCTACGGTCCTGCTCGTCCCCTGGATGCTACGGAAGCACCGCAATGACCGCGTTTTCAACCAAGGCCGCCCCTTGGTTGCTGACCTGCTCGCGAAGTTCAAGGAGGAGGCTGCCCTTTGGGCCGCCACTGGCGTGTTAGGGCTTAGAGCTATCATCCCGCAAATCTGGGACGTCCATTGACTACCATCCCGAGTTGTAACCGCCTCCTAGGAGGATTGTAACTATTAACCCTCCCCTTTTCCATAAAATAAAACGCAAGCTCTTTTGCGTTTTCTCGAAAAAGAAGTCCCTGAGGATTTGGTTTAACCGTGGAATATGACTCCTAAAAATGTTGTAAGAACATTGAAGCCTTCAGAATGCCCATTGAAGGATTGGAAGTTATTGTGAAGACTTTTGTTTACTAATTTATTTTTCTTCATTTGAGTCGTAGGGCAACGTACTATTAACAGTGGTCTAAGTGAAAGTAAGATTGAAGTCTTCGTGTGTGCGCACAATCAAACCAAATTCTTCAGAGAGTGAAGACTTAGAAATCTCTTTCAAAGTGAGTCATTTAGCCTTGGTGCCGAAGTTAAGTCTTTGGGACACTTGGGTTAAATTCATCACTGAGTAAGATGACTTGTTCCACAAGTCAGTCCATGCGCGCTTGTGTTTGAAATTCATATCGTTAGCCACGTGCCGCGTGTCATTTCAGCCCCCTTGGGTTGCTCGCCAGCTATAAATAGCCACCCTACCCCAACCATTTGTTGTTGGCTACTCCAAGTGAATTTGGGACAAGTGTTGTCTGAGCAACCCTTCCTCCCAAATATTTGAGAGAAATTCTAAGTGAGGAAAAAACACCCAGAGACTAAAAGTGTCAAGTGATTAAGCATCACCAAAGAACTTGATCAAACCTAACTTTGACTTGTTACTCTTAAGGACTGTGCATCCTCTAGATGGTTAGGAGTCGTTCAAGCGCGTCCAAAGTGCGGAATTGCCGAACAACAAGCTTTTACCGGTCCGGAGATCACCGCAAGATACCCCAAGTAATTGGGCGGGTTCGAGGACTTAGCTCAAGGAGAACAAGGCGAAGACTTGTGTGTCTTCAGAGTTGTGGCTCAGCCTCTCCAACCCAGGCATAGAACTATGCCGGCAGTTTGAACTGGGGTAAACACATCATTGTGTCTTTGTCGAGCAACGGGTTCTAATTCCTCGCTCCTATTTACTTTCTGTAATCTGCCGATTTTCGAAGAATTTCCTCTTCCTTCTTTCTTTGTGATTGTTGCGAAGTTATCTAAGTATTTTCATACCTTTCCGCTGCTTAAGTTGTCGTTGAAGTGGTGTACTTTGTTTTCTAAATGAAGATTCCGTCCGTGCTTAGGCTGTTAGATTTACTCACACCTATAGCTCGTTTGTCTTCTGCTCCTGTGATAGCAGGTTTACTTTAGTCATGGTTACCTAGTAGGTTTGCCGCTTGCCTCGTAATTTATCTAGTTCTTCTACTAGATTTCCTCTGAACTGTGGTGATGTTGTCCTGTTATTCTTCTATTTACCGAAGTATTTTGTATTTTAGAAGAATTTGCTCAAATCTACCATTCACAACCCCCCCCCCCCCTCTAGTTGACACATTTGATCCTACAGCGAGGCATTAGAGAGAGTAAGTCATAATCAAAGGGAGGTGTGTTTAAACGGTATTTTTCTGCTCATAGTCATCTACTGAACATATCATTGCATCGTAGGGGCAGAAGGCAGGTAACAGATCCACCAGGCATCTTTTTCATATTTATCATGTATGTAATGGGCTAAATGGAAATAGCTTCGTAAAATTTTATCAGAAACTATTGACGAATACATTTTTACCAATGGATCTTCTAAATAGATTAAGCAATGTGATACATTCCAGTTTATCCGGCGTGTTCAGCAGAACTGCAACAAGTTGGGAGCTGTACGAGTGCTTCATTGTGATGGAGACTTAGCGGAGTTGTGGATGACACATGGAACAAATTGTGAAGCTCTAGGAGAACCAGTACCATTTAACAGCTTACGGGTAGTTGAATGAAAAGTGGAAGCGGTTGATGTAACAGAAACCTCAAATTCTCAACACAAGATACTGTTGAGCATAAATTCATCTATGCTTTCAAAATTTGTTAAAATTCTGCTGTGAATTTGTCTTAATTTCTTGTATAGTTCCCTCAACAATATATACAGTTTTCCCAGTCAAAAAAAAAACAATATATACAGTTTTTAGTATTTTCCAGTTGAAGCCGCCAATCTACTAAACTATGGTAATCAACAATTGCACTTAACATAAGCATCCCAGAAATAGTTATTTTGCAATGCGGTTCCTCGATAGCTCGTAAAATCATATTCGAGAAAAATTAATCTCAAAATCATGTATGCTTCTGGTTTCGCAGTTCTCTACTCAAAAGTCAAAACTCACTCAAAGTAGCATAGAGGGATACAGTTGATAGAGCAGACTAATTCTACAGATTCCACAGTTCCTCAAGATATGATAACATGAACAACGACAGTATAGCACCAGAGGCGGGCCTACCTGAGCTTTTTGTAGACCATCAGAAGCCTCTTCTATGACTTTACGATCCAAGCTTGCCGCATGATTAGACTTCAAACAGATTTCAAAACCCTTTTGTGCTTCTTCGACATCCCCCAGAGCAAGCAGACAACTATACACATTTAGCCGAGCATATTGATTAGATCATATATTCAGCAATATTATACAAGTTATATAACAAGGGCAAGACACTTATGACCAATTACATGCACTACTAACTCCTAACATCAAATAACCACATTAAGTTATGGAATTCGAATTAACAAGGCTATTAACACTTTGCAAACCAATGTCAACTGAATGTACACAAACAACAAGGAGTATAGTTAGGCATGTTAAGGCAGTACTCAGCCTTAGACTTAACTACAACACATGAAATGTTTCTTTCCTCTGAGATCTGAAATTGCTAAGAAAAAAACAATTGAATTGGATATTTACTTAAGAACAATATCTAGTTTTTTCTCCTTCACCAAATAAAAAGTTTAAGAATTATGATGCAAATTCCAATTATTTAAAAAAACTGTATATATGTGAAAGTTCGCAAATTGGTGATTTGTCAATGTAACAGCCCTAGGTATTCATCTTACTTGGCAGCTCTGACTTGTGCCTTGAGAAAGCTGGAATCAATTTCAGTAGCTTTCCGACAATCAGAGAGGGCATCTCTCATCCTACCGAGAGATATCCGGGTAGCTGCACGATTGCTGTAGCACAGCATTAATGCTTTCTGAGAAGCTTGATTTTGAGAAACAGAATTAATCCCATGGGTATAGCATTCCTCCGCCTTAGCTAACTGTCCTGCAGCATAAGCTTGGTTTCCCCTGGTGAACAATAAACAATTAAGCTTAAAATGCACCAAATATACAGTTAAAGCAACAAAAAAGAAACTCTAATCCCCTTATTCAAATCAAACCAAAACTCAACATATTTCAGTTTTAAATGTTGATATTTCATAAACAACCACTGGTGGGAATTAATTCTAAGCCAACAAACTCCAGAATTATCAAACACAGCACATTATCCATAAGCATAAACTTGATTACATAGCATGAGGAACGGGTGTGAAAAAAAAGGCAAAAGGCTAACAGAGGAACAAATAACTGAATTTTGATTGACTGAAATACATCACATTGGTTCTTGGTTGGAGATAATTTCATAATTTTCTTCTGTTATGGAAGATTCTAATTTTCTTCTGTTATGGAAGTTCAAGCACAGTTGCAATCCTTTCAAAGTTTGCTTTCAGATTACTGCAGATATTAAACTGGTGTCCACTGTCCACATATAAATAATCATATTTTGTGCTATTTGCCTATTTCAGAAGATATAGTTGATATAACTGTGATATTTGCAACTGTGCAGGCATAAGTCATTAAACATAGTATGTAAGTTCATAAATACGCCAGTAACAAAATACGAAAGGTTGTGTAGACACCTTATACGCCAAGTTTCACAATCCTCCTGATATCTAAAGTTTCCTGTTTTTGTACATGTTACTACTGAAGGTTCTGCTTTGCTGTATTCAGTCCATTGAGGCACCAAAACTGCGTCTGGCTGGCTTGCTGAAACTTTTGTGTGTGCAAGACTAATGGCAGATGTAGGAAGGCTTTGAACAAAGTTAGTATGAGTCGTCATTCCTTCAGAACTTCTATTCTGTTGTCTTTGTGAGCCCAACTTACTTCGATCGAAAGTAGATGAAGCAAATATTAAGTCAGAGTTACCACAACTTTCCAAGTTAGCTGCAAAAGTAAGCCCAGTTCCATCATGGCTACTTTCTGCTGTTTGCGTAGCATCAGCTACCTCTGGGCCACTGTTACCAGAACCCTCTAACCTGAGGCCAACTTTTCCAGATTGTTCCATACTAAAGTTTGTTTCCGGAGTCACTTTTCCAGAAAAACTGTCAGCTGCAAGGACATTCCGCAATGAAGAAACCTGACGGGTTGAGGAAAACTTCTTTGGTTTAACTGCCCTTCTATTCATGCTCATAGCCTTAAGCACTCCCTTGTCTCCAGCTGAATTGTGGTCTTGTAGAAGAGTAAATGATCTCTCATCGAAAGATCGACATTCACCAAGTCCAGATGCTGCACCTACTTGTGTTTGCATACCATCAGGCAACTTTGTGAAAGAAACCTTCACAATGTCATCTTGAGCTCCAATGCTAAAAGGTGCAGTATTCGAGGCTTTTTCTGTTTCATGGACTTGACAATGTCTGGAATGTGGAGCACCCCAATTACGTGAACCAGGTGCAAGCTGTGACTTGAGACATCTGCCATCCTCAGTAGCTGAAAGACCAAGTTGTTCAGAACTGCATGTTACCTCCTCTTTATCAGATGAATCCAACTTCTTGACATTACTTTGCTCTGTATTTGCAGTGAACAGACTATGTTGAGCACTAGCACGCTCCCCGAAGACAAACAAATCATGTTTGACATTACCACCAGTTGCAGAAAGTTTGCTTCCATCCTTTGTGAAGTAAACTTTATCTACAGAATCTCCTACGGATGAGTTACCACAGTCCTTGGGGACTTCCATGGAATCATTCCTGTCAGTACATTTTGTTGCAGTGACCGCTTGACCAACTAATGATGAATTTGTTTCGGTACTCTTGCACCCTACTGTCTGAGAGAGCATGCCACGCCCTTCATCGCGCTGCTTAGCAACACCAGGAAGAATGCTCGGACGAAAAACCTCATGTGACTTCAAATTGCTTTGAGAGGAACCAAAACTACCGCGAGAATTTATCTCCAGCACGGAATCATTTAGTCTAGAAACATGAGCACAGTCTCTTTGCTTGCCGGAAGAATCATCTTGTACAAGCTCATCGGCTGCTGCAGAGAGGCTGCACAACGATGCAGCACTGGATTCAACCGAGGAGCTTCTCTTCATCTCCGATCTCGCCGAGACGCCACTCCCAAAAACAAAATTAGCGCCACGGGAAGAACCCCATGAGCCCGCCGACGCTGGATCCTCCGCCACGGCGCGGTTAGACGTCGAGGCGTCCGCGCCGAAGACGAAGACCGAGGGGCGTGATCCACCTGCGGTGCTCGGTCGCGAGCCAGCGCCCGCAGCAAAGCTCGAGAGATCACCGCCGAGGCGCCGGCTGGGGGAGCAGGAGGCTCCGGGGTGGTCGGAACGAAAGGGGGCGGCCTGGCGCCGCGGGCGGGCGACCCGCGGCCTGTGGGTGGCGGCGGGGATGGTGGGGAATGGGGCGGAGGCGGCGAGCGGATCGGGCGAGGGGTCCATCGGGTGGGCGGCACGGGAGAGGAGAGCGTGTGCGGCGGAGGGCGGCTTTACGTCGGCGGCCGCGCGCGGGCGACGTGGATTTCGTTTTCCGGCGGGGCAGGGGTGTGGGCCATAGGCAGATAGAAAGAGACGGGAAATGGATTGGATTGAATTGAACTGCTCTGTACATACCCAGCTGCTGCATTAAAATAGGAAACGAACAGAAAATGATGAACGTGCCGACACGTGCATTACATGGTCAGCGGCTCGCCCTCCATGGCATGGTATCCCACCCCCATCGCAGCCTCAGGGTCAGGGTCTCCAACCAACCTGACAAGGTTAGCAAAGCTTTCACATGCTTTTTTTTTAGCTGGAGAAAAAGTGTTTTTTTTTCTGACCATGCTGGAGAAAAAGTGTTCTGGAGTCTTTAGGAAATCCAGAATGTTACATTTAGATCTTGCAGGTGTGTCACAGCCTATATCTCAGTAACGTGTTCTCATGGACTTGCCCAGGATTTGAAGAGTATGTATTCAAATTCTCAAAGGGAGCCCAAATTTTTATTTTTATTTTAGGGAAAATACTGCCGCTTTTATTAACTTACGAAGTTCGGAATCTCATCCAACAAAACAGAAAGAACGATGTCCGCGGGAGCCCCCAACCAAACCTTACATAGTTCGACACCCACTCCTACTCTAGCTAGCTTATGCGCGGCAGCATTAGTTGAACGTCTAACCCAAGTCACCTTGTGATCAACAAAGGATCGCAACAAGGTTTTGATCTCCTCCACCAAAGGCCCGGACGTCGAGAGCTCCTTTGTGTGTTTCTTCAGCATCTGCACAACTCCTTGAGAGTCTAACTCCACATGCACTAGTGTCGCGTTGATTTCTTTTGCTACCTCAAGAGACCGCTTACATGCCAAGATCTCAGCCACCTCGGGATCGACGACCTCAGAGAAATGGTGGCACATACCTGCTCTGAACGCTCCCATATGATCCCTAAGCACAGCCCCACCTCCAGCCTTGTCCCCCATCTTTGATGTTGCGCCGTCGGAGTTAACCTTGATCCAACCCTCGTCCGGTGGCTCCCATTTCTGATGCTGCGGACGAGCCGGAGCATTACCTGAAGCGGGATGTGCCAGCACCCACTCCTCTATCTGCCCCAAGACTGAACCCAATATTTCATGTGGACGTTTGATCATCTTCCCTTCTCTTGTCTCGTTCCTAGCCAGCCACAGGCTATACAGCGCCTGCACTGTCGCCTGTTTTGCTTCATTGGATGCTCCCGCTAGCCACTGCAGTAGCCAACGTGCTACCTCTCCCTGGGAGACCAACTGGCATGGTGGGATCGCCACCAAATCTCCCTTCTCCGAGCGAAATAGCTGCCAAAAAAGTACCGAGTGTGGGCACGCCCAAAATCGATGAAATAAAGTTTCCTCACGTCCACAAGCAACGCAGAAGACCCCAGGTTTTATCCTTCGCCGATGGAGCTCTGATCCGACTGCCAGTCCATTTGAAATGAGTCTCCAGAGATGAATCTTGGCCTTTCCAGGTGTGTTCGTGCCCCAAAGGGCCATGTACCCCTTGTGTTTATTCACAGAACTAGATGACTCCGGCCGTCCAAAGCGCGATCTAACCATGGCCATTTTCAGATGATAAGCTGGTCGTACCGAGAAGATTCCATTCTTTGTGAAATTCCACGCTTGGTAGTCGTCAATACCCAAGCCACCCACCACTATCTGCAAAATTTCACTTGCATCGCCCGGGGTGAACATCTCCCTGACTCGGTCACGATTCCAACTTCTTCCATCTGGCAAGAGGAGATCGGCCACCTTAGTCACGCCCGGGATATATACCTGTCCCAATGGCTTCATAGCCCCGCTCCTCGGGATCCAGTTACTGTGATGTATGCTCACTTTGGAGCCGTCTCCAATTCTCCAAAATAGGCCCTCTCGAAGTAGATCCCTGCCGTGCAAAACGCGTCTGTAAGTGTATGAGGCTGTAGCAGGGCACGTTGCGCTCAATATGGATTCCTCTTTGAAGTAACGCGCCTTGAGCACTCTTGCCACCAACGACTCCGGGCATTGTAGGACACGCCAGGCTTGCTTTGCAAGTAGAGGCTGATTAAACACTGTTGGGTCACGAAAACCCATCCCTCCATCCCTTTTAGAGGTGCACATCTTTTGCCATGAAATCCAATGTACTTTTTTCTCACCATCCTTTGCCCCCACCAGAATTTCGACGAGATAGAATTCAGATTCCGGCACGTTTTCTTTGTGAGGTGGAAACAACTCATGGTGAAAGTTGGTACTGATTGGAGTCCAGACTTGATAAGTACCTCCCTTGCCTTCTTGGACAGACCCAAATCCTTCCATCCGGTGCATTTTCCTTTTGAGCTCTTCGTGACATACCGAAAAGTGCCCTCTTTTGATCGACCAACCAGTGTTGGAAGACCGAGGTACCGTTCACTAAGTGCTTCCAAGGTCACCCCCAACACCGCTTTGAGCTCTTCTTTAGCGTTGTCCTGACAGCCTTTTCCAAAGAAAATCGAGGATTTTTGCAAATTCACCTTCTGTCCCGAAGCTTGCTCGTAGCTGGCTAAAATCTCCCTTAGAGTCTCTAGGTACTCCATGGATCCCTCCAAGAACACAATATTGTCATCTGCAAAAAGGAGATGTGTGATATGGGGGCCAGTGCTCCCAAACGTCACTCCTTTCAGTCTATTTTCTGCTTGCGCTTTCCTCAAGAGTGCAGAGAAACCCTCGACACAAAATAAGAATAAATAAGGCGAAAGAGGATCTCCCTGTCTGAGACCTCGGGAAGGTAAGAAGCACCTAGAGCATGCACCATTAAGCTTTACCGAGAAACTTGTCGTCGTCACACAACGCATGATCATCTCTATCCATGACGGTGCAAAACCAAACCGTTCCAACATCTGCTGCAAGAACACCCACTCAACTCGGTCATAGGCCTTCATCATGTCAAGCTTTACAGCACATAAGGGTCTCTTCCTCTTCCTGTTGCGAATGGCATGGACACACTCGTAGGCTACTAGCACGTTATCTGTGATAAGGCATCCAGGCACGAAAGCACTCTGCTCCTCTGATATAAGCATGGGAAGTATACTCTTTAACCTGTTGGCCAACACCTTTGTTGCAATCTTATAAAGCACGTTGCACAAGCTAATCGGTCTAAACTGGGATAGCAGCTCCGGTGAGTTGACTTTAGGAATCATAACTATCACTGTAGCATTAAAAACCTCCGGTGTAGCTGCTCCACTCAAAAAATCACACACAGCTCTGCAAATATCATTTCGGAGCAGCAACCAGTGTCGCTAATAAAAGAGCGCGGGGAGTCCATCCGGCCCCGGGGCTTTAGTCGGTCCCATCTGAAATAGAGCCGTCCCTATCTCAAAATCTGAAATCAGTGTTGTCGTCGTGTTCATCTCCTGTGTAACTGCCCATTGAATATTTTGTAGCACCCCCTCCACCCCCACAGACCCTTCCGACTTGAACAGCTCTTCATAGAACAATGTTGCCATGGCTCTCTCCTCGTCCACAGTACACCTAGAACCATCCGGTCGTCGCAAAGCCTTGATGGTGTTCTTCCTTTTATGATGTGATGCCCGGTTCTGAAAGTACTTAGTATTTTGATCACCTGCCTTTAGCCAATCCACTCTCGAGCGATGTTTGTACATTATTTCTTCTCTTTCATACACCTCCCTCAATTGCTCTTCTAGCTCCCGAACCTCGCGCTGGTAACCCGAGCTAAGCGCCCATTCCTTTGCTTCCAACAGTTGGGCTTTTCAGCCGTTTGATCTTCCTTCGTATCGACCCAAAGACCTCATGCACCCATATCTGCATCGAGCCCGCCATTCTTCCTAATTTTTGCCATACTGCCATTACTCCCCCCTCTCCCGTGCTCGCCGCGTCCCAAGCCTCCGCTATCATGGACTCATACTGTTCATGCCTGGTCCAAGCCTCCTCATACCTAAACGATCGATCCCCCACCCCCATGCGCTGTGGAGCCGTCTCTAATATACGCACCAGGAGAGCTTGGTGGTCCAATTCTTCACATAACAGATGCTCTACCGAAGTCTCAGGAAACATACTGAAAAAGTCATCATTACATGTGGCACGATCCAAACGAACCTGAATATTATCCTGTCCATCTCTTTTGTTATCCCATGTGTAGGGGTAGCCAGTAAAGCCAAGATCAGCCAGGCCGCAATCGGCTAGGCAATCTCGAAAATCATCCATTTGATTGAAGCACCTTAGGTTACCCCTCACTTGATCAGTACGGAAGAGGGCCTCGTTAAAGTCACCGACACAGAGCCAGGGTAGATTATCTTGGTCCCGAAGAAAACGAATAGCATCCCATGATTTTTCCTCAATTCAGTTTTGGGTTCTCCACAGAATCCAGTGATCCTATAGAGTTTACCCTCCCAAGCGACCTCAACATCCAGAAAGTATTGGCACCACGGCCTCACTATAACTTGAATATGATCCCTCCACCACAATGCCAAGTCCCCACTTCTTCCATTGCAACTCACCGCAACTCCACTCGTGAATCCCAGACTCCATTTCAACCGTTCCATAGCTCTAGCTAACTTTTTTATTTCTGAAAGGAACACCACCGCTGGGTTGTGAGACCTAATGAGGTCTCGCAGTTCGCCCACTATCGAGTCCAACCCCAATCCTCGACTGTTCCAAGCAAGGAGATTCATTGCTCTAGGCGGCCCTGGGCTCCAGGGTCCGCTGCTTTATCATCTCTGCCTTGGATGCGGTCAAACATCAAGGAAGTCTTCCTCCTCGTATCGCGAATGAACTCATCCTCTCTACTTCTCCCTTCTGCATCTCCTTTTGCTATCCACACCTGCCTCGGCCTCCTCTTCCTGTTGTCTGCATCTCTCCAAAAGGTTGGTTCCGACCGGTGTCTCTCCCGAGAATCTGTCATGTCCTTCCTCACATAGTAGCCCATGCGCCTCCCCCGGTTCCCATGCATGTTGGGTCCCCCCCCA